TCAATGAAAAGATAACTCTTCAACAACACCCTTTCTGGAGCACTCTGTTCCCTAGACTATAAATAAGAGGATTCAACATAGGAATGATGAGAGTGTGGAATACAGCTAGCATCCTGCTTTGCTCTGGTGCGGAGATGGCCCGGGGCTGGGCTACATGAAGAAGACGGTTCCATAGAATGAATTCAGCACGGCTACCTGGGAACCACAGTGGGAGAAGGTCTTGCTCCTGCCGCGGGTGGAGGAGATCTGGCACAGTGCAGAGGCTGTGAGCGCAGGAAGCCAGGAAGACAGCCCAGCCGTGGTGCTGACGGTGCCCAGCGCAGAGGACAAACCGCAGGAGCTCATCACAAAGGGGTCGACGCGTGCGATCTCCATCAGGGCTGGGACATCGCAGCAAAAATGCCCCAGTCTGTCTTCTGCCAGAAACGCAGGCTGAGGTGAAGCCTGTTTGCATCGTGGAGCTTGGGCGGCCGCAGCTGTAGGAGCCCATCAGCAAACGCACGCCAGCCAGCTGAGACAGCCGCACAGCCCACGGGGAGAGCAAAAGCTGCCTCAGCCATGGCGGTCATCTGAGAGTAGACCAGCAGGTGGACGATGCCTCTCTCTTTCTGTCACTCTGCTTTTCAAATAAATTTTCAAAAGTCTTTAAAAAAGAAATACATTAGCATAACAAATACCTTCTTATGGGTACATTCTTTTGGTTCTGTTTCTACTAATACATTTACTTTGTAAAAGAAGGACATATTTCATTATTTCTGCAAATAATTAATAAAAATACCAACATAAAGTAAGCAAAATTATAATCAATAATTTGACACTACATTAATAAAAAATTAAAATTGGAAGAAAAGGTTTAGAAAGAAGTTTTAAAAATTAATTTTTTCATACAGAATCTCAACACAAAAAACATGGTTACTTTTTTGAATTGAAAGTAAACATTAATAAATGTAAACAACCTAAATAAATATATCATTTCTTTTTTTTTTTTTTTTTGACGGCAGAGTTAGACAGTGAGAGAGAGAGAGAGTCAGAGAGAAAGGTCTTCCTTTCTGTTGGTTCACCCCAAAATGGCCGCTACAGCCGGAGCTGTGCCAATCCGAAGTCAGGAGCCAGGTGCTTCCTCCTGGTCTCCCATGCAGGTGCAGGGCCCAAGCACTTGGGCCATCCTCCACTGCTCTCCCGGGCCACAGCAGAGAGCTGGACTGGAAGAGGAGCAACCAGGACAGAATCCGGTGCCCCAAATGGGACTCGAACCCGGGATGCCGGCACCGCAGGCAAAGGATTAGCCAAGTGAGCTGCGGCGCCGGCTATAAATATATCATTTCAAACATAATTTCATAACTTCTTAACCTCAGAATCATTGTGCATCTACACATATCAAGGAGAATTTAGTGGAAACCTGGAGAGGATTCCGCACTATGAATTATTTTACTGAAAAGTTTTTTCTTCAAGCACCATGTCATGTAGTGACTTTCAAGTGTACAGAACTCTTTTTGGTCTCCTTGTTTCAGATTTAAAACTGTGACTCAGCGTTCGATGACAGCAAATCAGTCCCATGATTTCCCCAACAATTTGTAAAAACCCATAGAGAACTTGGAAACGTGCAGAAGGGCTTGGTTAAATGATGTGTGTTAAAGAATTTTATCACTCATTAAGCAGTTTTGTAAGAACCTCAGACTATTTTGTATTATTGATTTATTTATTGACGTAAGAAATTGTACATCTCAGTTACTTCACAAGTTGTTAAATACATCATCATCTCTTACTTTTTTAACCACTAAAGGAAAAAACTGATGGGTCAACTCTTAATAAAATTTGCGCAGATTATGTCTCCTGTTATTTCTTGCAAACCTTAAGGGTGCATAATTTCAGTGTTATCCAATCTCCTCTTCAGAATTAAAAAAAAGGCAAAATTTCTCTAACTTGAAATGATGTAACAAGTTTGAGCCCTCAACATGGCATGGGTAATATGAAGAGAACAAATACTGTTCCTTCTTGATTTTAAATTTAAATGACTCTTAATGAAATTTATCAAAATTGTGCAAAGGATAAGACAAATTCAGGGATAACATAATTGCCAAATACCATCCATCCTGTTCACCCACTTTCTGCAGGCCAGGGAGCAAGGTGACAGGGCAGGCAGCGCCAGACGACACAACAAGTTCGAGTGGCTTGCACAGTGCCAATTATTTCCAACCAGTCTTCTTTGTTCAAAACAATTTGGTGAGGGAAGGAAATTCCTAGAAATCTTGGGTTGTCCTGAAAGTTTCATTTTGTCCCATCATCCACAATCACTGTAGGTTGAAATTACAGCGAAACAGCCACCAGAGGGCAGCAAACTGCAACCGAGTCCAGGGTTGCCCTCTGAGCCACAAATCCTGCAGAGGGCTCACTTCACGCTAGCAATACCCTTTCTTTTAGGAGAATACCTTGGAAGGTTTCTGAAATCAAGCTAAAGTGTGACTTTAAAAAGCATTAGGAAATTGCATTCGTCAACTTATTAGAAGTACAGTACCTTACCGCAAGGTTGATCATATTCCAAGAATGCGACGTTGTTTTACTATTAGAAAATCTATTAGTAATTACCACAGTGTTAGAACAAGGGATCATGGAGGCATCGAGTGATAGCTCAAAAACCTGGGTTCCTGACACCTGTGTGGAAGACCAGGGCTGAGTTCCTTTAGCCCTGGATGTTGCAATGTTGCAGGCATTTGGAGAGTAAACCAGCAAATGGGAAATTCTCTCTCTCTCTCTCTCACAAATACACACACACACACATACACACACACACACATCAACATTCGAAGCAGTTTGTTCTCTGAATATACAACATCAGGTGTGCAGCAATTTTTATCTCAATCGTATCCCTGTTTTCTGATCCACATGTTGACTTTGAGAACTCAGCTGCTAGTCTAAACTTGGCTTATTTCCTCTAGTGACTTCTATGTGTCCTTGGTATTTGCAGCCTCAGTATGATAACAGTGCCCTGTATACTTCCCTGTTGGATATTCTGTTTGGAATCATCTTTACATCATTTCCATTGGACATATTGTGGATTTCCTCACACTATTATCAAAATTCTGCACGTTGACCTCATGTCTATCGCTAAGCTTGATCTCTTTTGCTGTTTTTTTTTTCAAATATCCTAATTCTTTATTCAGTTGTTCTCTACCAGTATTTAAGTTATCGATTTTAAGTTTTAACTTTAAGGTTTTTTTTTTTAAAAAAAAAGGTTTATTTCTTTATTTGAAAGGCAGATTTGGGGTGGGGGAGAAGGGGAGGTCTTCCTTCCACTGGTTCGCCCCCCAAATGGCCACAGCAGCCAGTTCTGGGCCAAGCTAAAGCCAGGAACCAAGAATTCCAATCTCATCTCCTACATGAGTAAGAGGCTCAGGTACTTCAGCCATGTCCTGCTGCTTTCCCCGGGTGCATTAGCAGGGAGCTGGATCAGGAATGGAGCAGCGGGGACTCAAACCAGCACTGTGATACCGGATGCCAGCATCGCAAGCGGCAGGTTAACCCACTGAGTCAAAGCACTGACTCCCTGTATAATCAGTTATTAAAAACTGATACCCAAAATTACATGCAAATGTTCACTGCTCAGTACCAAAGATTGATTAAAATGTTAAAATAGGAGCACAAAATAGCTTTTACACAAATAATGACAAGAGAGGGGTCAACTTGGTCAAATTCCAAAACTGACCCTGTGGCTACACTGCTCCTAAGGAATGGCTGTTTCTAGGCTGTTGGAATGTGTATTGGAACACAGTTTGGATTAAAAGATTGGAAAGCCTGCAGGTATTAAGTTCTGCCTCTACCAGCTACTTCATCTCCTGATACTTCATACTCCTTGTCTGAAAAACAGATAAAAAACAATCTATGGTGTATCATCCCCACTGCATAAAAAGGCTTTTATTATGTTATGTAACACTTTGCATTAAAAAGAGAGTGGAGAAATAAAGGTAGCAGAACGTTATGGAAACATTTTTGAAGTGAAGAATTAGAGACCCCTTTTAAAATGTGTCAACTATAGAACAATGCTCCCCAGGAAGCAAATCCAGGTACTCAGGGAACAATCGCCTTTCACTCAAGTGTGCTCTGTAAATTTTGCCACCAACATGATGGGTTTTACCTTGTGAAAAATGTAAGCAATAATACACACAAATATAGTATTATTTCATGATTATGTAACAATAATTCTTAATATCTAACCAAAGCATAATTTAAATGAAAATAGTATTGTTACCTCATAAATTAAAAATACATATGCTTTAATATATTTTAACAAAATTAAATGATTTTATACCTATCTTATTAGAAATATTAATTTATAAAACTTAAAAAAGAAACTTGTTCCTATAAATAAGTATTTTTGACATACTAATTTTGTAAAAACAAGAGTAACTAGAATCCTTAGAAAATCAACTTTGTCTAAGATATAGCAATTTTATAAATATTATTGAGAGAACCATCTCCCACATACTATTCCTTTCTCTTTTTTAAAGATTTACTTATTGATTTGAAAGGCAGAGTTACAGAAAAAGGGAGAGACAGAAGGAGGCCTTCCATCCGCCGGTTCACTCCCCAAATGGCTGCAACGGCCAGAGCTGGGCCGATCCAAAGCCAAGAGTCAGGAGCGTCTTCTGGGTCTTTCATGTGGGTGCAGCGGCTCAAGGACTTGTGCCATCTTCCACTGCTTTCTTAAGCTTATTAGCAGGGAGCTGGATCTGAAGTGGAACAGCCAGGATTCGAACTGGCGCCAATAGGAGATTCCAGCACTATAGGTGGCTTTTCCCACAACGCCATAGTGCAGGCTCTATTTTTTTTTTTCATAGATCTATTTACTAGAGTGACAGAAAGAGAGAGAGAGAAAGAGAGAGAGAGAGAGAGAGAGAGAGAGAGAGAGACAAGTTCTCACTTGCTGATTCACTCTCCAAATGTTTGAAATGGCCAGGGGTGGGCCAGGCTGAATCCAGGAACCAGTAACTCAGTCCTGACACCTGACACCATGTGGGTGTCAGGTAACCAACTACTTGAGCCATATCCTGCTCTCTCCCGGGTACTGTAATAGCAAGAAGCTGGACTCAGGAGTTAGAGCCAGAACTCCAACTCAGGCATTTGATACGGGGGTATAGTTTATCAACTGCTGAGCTAAACACCTGCTCCTCTACATACCATCCTTTTCACAGCGTCTTTCACATCTTTGTTTCTCAGACTGTATATGAGCGGGTTTAGCATTGGTATGATAAGTGTGTAGAACACAGCTACGATCTTGCTTTGCTCTGGTGCAGAGATGGCCCCAGGCTGGGCGTACATGAAGAAGACGGTTCCATAGAATAAACTCACCACGGCTACATGGGAGCCACAGGTGGAGAAGGTCTTGCTCCTGCCGCGGGTGGAGGGGATCTTGAGCACAGTGCAGAGGATGTAAGCGTAGGAAACCAGGATGATGGCCGTGGTGCTGATGATGATGAGCGCAGAGAGGACAAACAGCACGATCTCATTCACAAAGGGGTCGACGCACGCGATCTTGATCAGGGCTGGGACGTCACAGAAAAAATGGTCCAGCCTGTTTTCTCCACAGAAACGCAGGCTAAAGGTGAAGCCTGTTTGCACAACAGAGTTGATGCAGCCGCAGAGATAGGATCCAGTGACCAATCGAACGCAGACTTTCTGGGACATGTGCACTGGGTAGAGCAGAGGGGAGCAAATGGCCGAGAATCGATCAAATGCCATTACGGCCAGGAGGAAGCCTTCTGTTGTGACAAACAGGGCGAAGAAGAAAAACTGGGCTGCACAGCCATTGTATGAGATCTTCTTTTCCTTGGTCAAGAAGTTGGCTAATGTCTTGGGAGCAATGACTGTGGAGTAGCAGAGATCTAAGTAAGACAAATTGCTAAGGAAGAAATACATTGGTGTGTGGAGCTTGGTGTCTCCCCTGACGACAATTATCATGCTCACGTTTCCCAACACAATGACCACATAGACCATCAAGAACATCAAGAATAAGAGAAGCTGCAGTTCGGGGGGAGCTCTAAATCCCAGCAGAATGAAGTCAGTCACCTCTGAATCATTCATTTTAGCTCCCTCTTCATGGCTGAGATATAGATAGAAACGGAGGAGTGACGAAAATGAGAGAAATGAAATGATCAGAACCCTTGCATTACTGTGAGTAACTGGTGAACCTGCATGGAAGAAGGTTTGTCATAGGAGTCCCAATATTTTATAAAAGCATCGATATATACAGATAATTACTATTTAAAAAAATCTTCCTAATGAACAGTTCAATGGAAACCTTTTCAGTTGGGGGGGTGGGGGCCTGAGGTTGTGATGTACCAGATTAAGCCACCACTTGCGACTCCAGTATCCCATATTGGAGCTGTCCAACTCCCTGCTGATGCCCCTGGGAAAGCAGCGGAGGATGGTCCAAGTGCTTTAGTCCCTGCCACCCAGGTGGAAGATCCAGTTAGCGTTACAGGCTCCAGGCTTCAGCCTGGACCAACTCTAGAGGTTGTTGCCTTTTGGAAAGTGAACCAGCAGATAGAAGATTGATCTTTCCTTCTGTCATCTCTGTCACTCTGCCTGTCAAATAAATAAATAAATCTTTTTTTTCAAAAGTGGAATCTTTGGCTTATATTTCCTAAACATGATGAAATCAAACTTTTGTTTTTCTCCTCCCTTCCTTCTTTCCTACACTCTTTTGTTTGCTTTGGATTTTTAACATAGGAATTCAAGTGGAAAACTGTAAGATCTTTGGGAGAGCCATCTTTTCTTTCTAGAAAGAAACCTCATTAAAAATGCAAGGTCATCTTTAGTTGGAGTACAGAAAACACAAAGACAATTAAAGACAGCTGCAAATGTAGAAGTAAAAAGAAGATGTATGTATTTAAATAAACATCAATTATATTTATTTATGGTCATGGTATGACAATCAAATGCTGTGGTGACCTAGGGAAAGAAATAACTTTTTCTTCTAGTTTTATGAATGAGAAAACCAACAAACACAGACTTATCTTTATTCTGAGTCATGAGACTGACACGCCAAATAACTACCCAATAATCTATCTAAAATGGAAAAGAAAATCAGCAAACAACAAATCGATAATTAGTGTTGTATGGAAATGTCTTTTAGAAATGTGCAATTATCTAAATTTACACTAATATGTAAATCATGTAACTATATTGAATTAGTTATAAATTATGTGTTAATTATTATAATTACCAAAGGTCTCAAATTCTTATTGCTAAGTTTGACATTCTTTTTGTAGATATTGAATTTATAGAAGCATAGGAAAATCAATTTGATCTCATCATAATATTCTACATTACTGAAAAAATTTAAAGGGAACAGAAATGTCTTTTGTTTTCCTTAAATTCATATTTTATGTGAAAAAAAACTGGTTTCAACAAAGTTATTGAAAAAAATGCAACTAAAGCTATCTAAAAGAAGGGTATGAGGAGAATAAGCAAATTAAATATGAGCCATGCTCAGGAATGAATACTAGTTCTTACCTTAGTTACCATTGTACTATCCATGACAGTGAGTACATTCATGAAGAAATAAAAGCATGAAAAGAAAGGTTCCCTTAGAACCTTTGTTCTAAGGGAAGATTTTCCTGCAACACAGATTGCATTTCCTCATGACTCCAATTTGCTGATGTGAGCAAATACTAGCGCAAATTGTGGCTTGTCCCTCTTACTACTTTTTAGCTTGCTGTACTGTTTCATTGGTTAAACTAATAGACCTTGGTTGGGTCCTGAGAGAAATTATCTCCAGGGGCACAAAAACAAAGTGGTGGGCAATCCCTCCGCAAGGGACTCACTGGAGATTAAAGGTCTCTCGCCAGTGAGATATCTTGTGTTGTAACACAAAGAGAAAAAGTGACAGAAGAAATTATTAACTTGCAAGCTTCCCAGGCCTATGGAAAAGTCAGAAGAGATCCCTAGAGGGCCCAGGGCTCTACTTACTCAGCAATAATTATAATAAAGCAAACATGGCTGGGTGAAAAGTATTTGATTCTTCCCTTTTAAAATTTGTATTTAGGGGTTGGTGTTGTGGGTTAAGCTACCGCCTACAATGCCAACATTCCATTTAGGCACTGGTTCATGGGCCAGCTGCTTCACTTCCAATCCAGCTTCCTCCTATTCTCCTGGGAGAAGCGGTGGAAGATGGCTCAAGCATTTGGGCCCCTGCCACCCATGTGGGAGACCCAGATGAAACTCCTGGCTCCTGGCTTCTGGCTTCTGCTTGGGTCAGCATTGGCTGTTGCATCCATTTGGCAAGCAAACCAGTGGATGGAAAACCTCTCTCTCTCTCTCTCTCTCTCTCTCTCTCTCTCTCTCTCTCTCTTTTTCAAAATAAATCTAGGGGCTGGCACTGTGGCGCAGCGGGTTAACGCCCTGGCCTGAAGCGCCAGCATCTCATATGATATGGGCGCCGATTCAAGTCCCAGCTGCTCCTCTTCCAATCCAGCTCTCTGCTATGGCCTGGGAAAAGTAGAAGATGGCCCAAGTCCTTGGACCCCTGCACACGTGTGGGAGACCTGGAAGAAGCTCCTGGCTCCTGGCTTCAGATCTGCGCAGCTCCAGCCATTGCGGCCAACTGGAGAGTGAACCAGCAGATGGAAGACCTGGCTCGCTCGCTCTCTCTCTCTCTCCTCTCTGTGTAACTGTGACTTTCAAATAAATAAATAAATCTTTAAAAGAAATAAATCTTCAGAAAATAAAATAAAATTTGTATTTATTTATTGTCATTTTATTTGAAAGGCAGAGACCTTCCATCTGCTGGCTCACTTCCCAAATACCCTCAACAGGCAGGGCTGGGCCAGGCTGCAGCCAGGACTGTGGAATGCAATCTGATTCTGCCACAGGGGTCACAGTGACCCCACTAGCTGAGCCCTCACTGTTGCCTCCAGGGTGCATATTAGCAGGAAGTTGGATCAAAAATGGTGCTGGAACTCAAGCCAGGCACTCCAGCACAGGATGTGTGCATCCCAAGTGATATCTTAACCACCATGCCAAACACCTGCCCCTTAATTCTTCTTTTTATTTCTGTGATGAAAACGGATAATGAGCTGACAGCCAATGGAAGCACGGGATTCAAATGTGCAGGATGTTGGAGTAACAGAGAGGCTGGTCCTACTGCCACTTGTGATACCAAAGCACAAGGAAAAGTGGTCTTAGAGGATTCCAGAAACCTGGGAATTCCTTCAGGAGTGAGAACTATACAGAGGTTTTCCTGCCAAGTTCTAGAGCCAAAAAGTGAAAACACCCCCAAGGAGAAAGAAATACTGTGTATTCCTACCTCTGCCATTGTGCACAAAAGCAGCAATAGTGAGGAAAAGGTGAATGAAAGCAATTGAATTTGGCCCATAGTACATAGTTCGTTGACCACTGCTCTAGAACACACAAAGATTCTAGAGGAAAAAAGAATCATCCAGAAAAAATGTTCAAGGCTTTTCACAATCATATTCTGATATTTTATATATTTTCTCATTTTTGTTGCATCAATTCCCTATCAAGGGAATAATTTTAACGGATTCTGTGTAAATGACATGTTAAAACACTGCAAAAGGAGCTTCAAAGATACACTTCTTTTGCAGAGATGAATCAAAGCAACAAAGAAATGCTTTTCAAGTAAGTGCTTGAAGGAGAACATTGAACTCACTGGGGGGAAATAGTGGGGACTTGGTAGGACAGGGAGACCTGGGATGATAGCATAGAGATAGAGATGGGGGGGGGGGAGCCAACCAGCACAGAGACCCCACCTCTGTGACCAGGGAGAATCCTCACTTTAGGGGAAAGGGGTCCCGGGAGAGCCTCAAGAGACCCCATCTGCGTGATTTTGCCTTAGGGGTAAACCTAGCTACAGAAGGAATCCATGGGTAACACAGAATCCATGGTAGCCCAGTAAAGAGACTGACAGTCCGTCACTTTCGATTCAGAGTAAAAGACGGTATTATGACCCCCACACCCCCGAGAGCTGAGCTGTGGCCATATGACTCTATCCTGAGACAGGAGTCACTGTAGGAATCCATACTTCACTAGAGGACAGAATCCTCTGTGTATTCTCATTCCTGGTTCTCCACAGATATTCTGACACCCTAGGGGGAAAAAAACGCAACCTCAAAAATCCAACAAGACCTAGCAGAGCAATGGGGCACAGGAGCTCCGCACAAGGGGCAGGGAACATGGAAGGTCAGGGGACCCGGCCCCTAGAACACTCCAGGTAGGCTCATCTACTTCATCAGAGTTGGGCCCTTCACCCCTCCCTCTCCCTCCACTCCACCTGCTACACAGGGCACAACTCACTGCCATTGCAATCCGTGCACACCTGGACTCCCAGTAAGGTCTCCTGTGACCCTAGCCAGGTCTGCCCAGCCTTGCTCAGAACTGTGTACCTATTCAGGACTGTGCTCCGGACTATAAAAGTGCTGGGCTTACTGACAGCACAAATGCCTCTTCTGCAACTTTGCACCCTCACAAGCATAGTAGCTGAGAGTTCCTTTATGCCCTGTCTGTCCTGATAGTGGTGTTGGTCTCATAGTTTCAGGTCTTCACACCCAGGCAAAGCCCAGAAGAAGGGGTGTCTGTCTGAGTCGTCCATCCCAGCACCAGTGTCTTTGGGCTTTTGAAAGGACAATGTGCAGTAGCACAGATTCTGTATGCCCTGCCTGAATCAGCACCAGTACCGCTGCCACCACTTTGGACCCCCACACAGACAGCAACGGGGTGAGGGCTGCAGACTGAGCGAAACCCCTGGGCTCCAGGAGTGCCCTAGGCCCCTGTTTCTGTTGGCCTCCACTTGCAGAGAAAGAAGTTAGACAGGATTACCCTATAGTCTCACCTATTTGTGACTATAGCCACAATAGACTATGAAGCCAACACCCAAAGATACAGGCTCAGAAAAACCCTTCATTTCATGAGATTCATCTATAAAAGTGACAGAAAGAACTGAGCCACAAAATGTGCAAATATCAATGTAAGAACATAAGAAGTAGGGAAAACCAGAGCAATATCATGCCCCAAAAGGGATGTAGCTACACTTTAGGATCATACTACTGTGAAAGAGAGATTGAAAACAAGCTGACAAGGATTTTAGGGATCCTAACAGGCCCACAACTACAGGTAGATAATTAAAAAGAGACTGTGGAGGGGCTGGCACTGTGGCACAGTGGGTTAAAGCCCCAGCCTGCAGTGCCAGCATCCCATATTGGTGCCAGTTTGAGTCCTAG